CTGTACACAAAAACTATTATTATTATCAATCATTACTCAGGGAATAACTCAGAGACCCTCTCTCTTTATTTCTGTCCTTAATACTGTATGTGTGTGTGTGTGTGTGTGTGTGTGTGTGTGTGTGTGTGTGTGTGTGTGTGTGTGTGTGTGTGTGTGTGTGTGTGTGTGTGTGTGTGTGTGTGTGTGTGTGTGTGTGTGTGTGTGTGTGTGTGTTGTTACCTTTATACATACTGTCTACGGATGATCCTCGTCACATGACCAGCGAAGTTCAAAGTACAAGGTTCAAGGCTTTTATTGTCTTGTGTGCAGATCTACAGTTATGACAATTACATTCTGAGGTCACATCAGGCTCCTCCAACAGAGCAACACAATACAACAGATGAAATAGTTAAAATAGTGCAAGTAAATAAAATAAAATAGAATATAATAGAAGTTTTGCAGAATAGTCTATAGTAATTGGAATATTGATATAAGTTGCAAAATGAATGTTATGGATGTTTCAACAGTTCAGGTGTTTAACAGTCTTATTGCCTGTGGGATGAAGCTGTCCCTGAGTCTGGTGGTTTTAGTCTGCGGTACCGCCTGCCAGACGGCAGCAGACAGGACAGTTTGTGGCGGGGGTGATGGGGGTCTTTTATAATCCTGAGGGATTTCTTCCTGAGCCGCTGGGAGTAAAGGTCCTCCATGGATGGCAGCTCCGTCCTGGTGATGTTCTGTGCAGCTTTCACCACCCTCTAAAAAAGCTTTACGATTAAGGGCGGTCCAGCTGCCGTACCAGGCCGTGGTGCAGCCAGTCAGGATACTCTCTATGGTGCACCTGTAGAAGGTCAGGATCCTCTCTATGGTGCACCTGTAGAAGGTCAGGATGCTCTCTATGGTGCACCTGTAGAAGGTCAGGATGCTCTCTATGGTGCACCTGTAGAAGGTCAGGATCCTCTCTATGGTGCACCTGTAGAAGGTCAGGATGCTCTCTGTGGTGCACCTGTAGAAGGTCAGGATCCTCTCTATGGTGCACCTGTAGAAGGTCAGGATCCTCTCTATGGTGCACCTGTAGAAGTTGCAGAGTATCCTGGTCCTCAGTGATGAGTCCATGTCAGGTCCTTAGTGATGAGTCCATGTCAGGTCCTCAGTGATGAGTCCATGTCAGGTCCTCAGTGTTGTGGACCCCGAGGAACCTGAAGCTGCTGACTCTCTCCACCGTAGTCCCATTGATGGCGATGGGGGCGTGTCCCTCTCCCTGCTGCTTCCTGTAATCCACAATCAGCTCCTTGGTTTTGCTGACACTGAGATGGAGGTTGTTATCCTGGCACCAAGATGTCAGGTTTGCGACCTCCTCTCTGTACGCCGTCTCATCGTCGTCTGTGATCTGGCCGATGACGGTCGTGTCATCAGCAAACTTCACGATGGTGTTGGAGCTGTGTGTGGCCACGCAGTCATGAGTGAACAGGGAGTAGAGGAGAGGGCTGAGCACGCAGCCTTGAGGGGCACCGGTGTTTAGAATCAGGGTGGAGGATGTGATGTTTCCCACCCGCACTGCCTGGGGTCTGCCCGTCAGGAAGTTCAGGATCCAGTCACAGAGGGCGCTGTTGAGCCTGAGGTCTCTGAGCTTGATGGCCAGCTTGGAGGGCACAATGGTATTGAAAGCTGAACTGTAATCAATGAACAGCATTCTCACATATGTGTTCCTCTGGTCCAGGTGTGAGAGAGCAGTGTGGATGGTGAGGGCTATGGCGTCGTCTGTGGACCTGTTTGCTCTGTAGGCAAACTGCAGGGGTCCAGAGAGTCAGGGAGGGAGGAGGTGATGAAGGATTTGACTAACCGCTCAAAGCACTTCATTATGATGGAGGTGAGTGCTACTGGGCGGTAGTCATTGAGACTGGTGGGTTTTGTCTTTTTGGGGACAGGAACGATGGTGGAGTGTTTCAAACATGTGTATTTAAAGATAAACATTTCAAAAGAGAAAAAGGTAAAACATTGTAAATATAAAGAGGAATGCATTAATAACACAAATCATTTTTTTATTTATTTATTTTAAATACTAAAATATGGAAATGTAAACATTACATGCCACCAGAGGGTGACACATCCCACAGCCTCACTCACAGGCGAACTGTTTAATCAAATAAATTAAAATACAAAAATAAAACATTACAAACCAAAGTAAATAAAGATAAGAGTTGAAGAGCAGGAAATAAAAAAATATATGAATTAAAAAAAAATATTGAAATCCTATGTAAAAATATATGAAGCGGAATTTAATAAAATAAGAACATTTTAAAATACAATAATAATGTGTGTGTGTGTGTGTGTGTGTGTGTGTGTGTGTGTGTGTGTGTGTGTGTGTGTGTGTGTGTGTGTGTGTGTGTGTGTGTGTGTGTGTGTGTGTGTGTGTGTGTGTGTGTGTGTGTGTGCTGGTAACATTTAGCAGAATAGTTTAAAAATACAACTCTATTTTTTTAAATACTAAATGTGGATTAGTAATTAAAGAACACAACACTAATGTTCCTCCCTCTGCCACCAGAGGGCGACACATCCCACAGCCTCACTCACAGGTCAACTGTTTAATAAAAAACGTTACAAACCAAAGTAGAGAGATACAAATATGTAGACATTTTGGAAATACAATAAAAGATCAAATGTAAAAACATTTACATAATACATGTGGATGAATAAAGATGAGTAAACACGTTTACAAAAAATAAAATTATGAATGTGGACATTTAAATAATAATACAATTAATAAATAGAGTCAACAGGAGTAGTGATGAAAAGAGCTCAAAATAAATGAAACAATTATAAAAATTACATAAATTGAAGAATATAAATATTATATAAATAATAATCAGAGAATGAAAATGATGCATAGATGAATAATAAGCAAACACATAACTATACAAATATGAAAATGAATAAATGGATTGATAAATAGGAATCAATAAAACATTTGAAGCCATGTCTTACAGATTGCTTTGTTTTCATGCTTAGAAATAAACAGAGAGAAGGGATAGTGGAGATTGAGCCGGAAAACAAAATAGATAAATAAGATAGAAGTGAAGAGTGATCCCCAAAGAAAGACAACGAGAAAGCACTTATCATCAAAATATAGTTAAAGTAGCGACAGTAAAAGTAGTCATTGTGCAGATTGGTCCATTTCAGAATAATATATATGATATGTTTTATAATGATTGATCATGAAAGTGTTCTCAAAGCTGGTAAAGGTGCAGCTAGTTTGAATGACTTTGTATACTGCAGGGTAGCTTGTGGATTTACTCCAGGTGGAACTAAAGTCTGATTTAACACTTGGTTATATTTCACATCATTCATCCACATCTGTAAAGTAACTAAAGGTATTAAATACATGTAGTGGAGTAAAAGTACACCATGTACCTCTGAATTGTAGAGGAGTAGAAGTACACCATTTACATCTGATAGTGAAGTAGAAGTACTAAGAAGTATAAAATGGAAATACTCAGGTAAAGTACAAGTACCTAAAAATTGTACTTACAGTACTTGAATAAATGTACTTAGTTTACACCACTTAAGCTCAGCATGCACTTGTGTGTTGAAGCCCAGAGCAGCAGACCTGGACCTGGACCTGGACCTGGACCTGGACCTGGACCTGGACCTGGACCTGGACCTAGACCTGGACCTGGACCTGGACCTGGACCTGAACCTGGACCTGGACCTGGACCTGAGTCCCGCTGTGTTTCCTGAGTGACCGCTCAATGGAGCCTCAATCTGCTGATGGGAGGTAGGAATTTAAAACGGACTAAAACTAACTGCCATTTGAGTCAGTTGTTGTCTGTGTTGAAGCTTCTGTGTAACCTTCAGGAAATCCTGGTTCTTAGCGACGTCGGTGGGCGTTAAGTGAACTGCAGTTAGCATCCTGGGCATGAACTCAGTGACGTTATCCACTAAAGACAGATGTGTTTACGTTAGCTTCACACTGCTGGCTGTAGGGCAGCTGAAGAGACGCGAGGCACTTTGTAGATAAACTTCACGTCTTTAGGATTTTCTCTGAAAATCTTCCTGAGTCCTTCACATAGAGAGCAGTCCACCGGCTGATAGAGGACACTCAGAAAGTCTGGAAGGTTCATCTGTTGGGAAACACAGAGCGATTTATACCATGACATTGTAAAGAGTTACTTTAGAGTTAACATATTGACCAAATGCTACCCAGGTGTCCCTGAGCAAGGCAGCGTTCCCTACACTGCTCCCCGGGCACCGTACATATGGCAGCCCACTGCTCCTAACACTAGGATGGATCAAATGCAGAATGTACATTTCCCCTCTGTGGGACGATGAAGAGCTCCTTCTTCTTCTCTTGATGCATCTGTTTCTGTTTCAGGGTCCAGCAGCAGACACCAGACTCTCCCAGCTGTCTGTCCCTAAAGAGCGACTCCTCGAAGGACGACTTCTTAGACTTTAAAGGACGACCTCCATCTGCTGATCAGAAGTAAGCTGTAACTCATAGTAAGAGTCCGGTTATGATAGAATAAAACTAGTTGATATGAAGTCTTGTCCAACTTATTTTCCAGCAGTCTTTCTCCAGCATGTTTTACGGCCTGATAAATGGAACAAATAATCAGGAGAGTGAGAGCGGTGTTTCCTCAGCGAGAACTTTACTCTAGTCAATTGCATTACCAAAAGTACGGCAATTAGAAAACATGCAAAGCTTCTTTAGTAGAGTCCAAACTCTTTTTCGTTTCACAGCATTTATCTAAGACTTCTTACTTTCCTCTAATATTACTGTCACCATCAGATAGCTTAAACAACATTAGCATCGCACACAAGTCACTTAAGTGCATCAAATATAATTGTACAGATAGCAGAACACTCAATAATATGTGTTGATGTCCCAGTTTTAAAATGTCATTACGATCTGTTCACACAGAGCGATATTACCATTACATAGTTAAATATAGGGACTTTAAGAGATTTAACATATTCTTCATCAGTTTTCTCCAGCATGCCAATGTCTGCATCTGTTTCTGTTTCAGGGTCCAGCAGCAGAGACCAGACTCTCCCAGCTGTCTGTCCTTCAAGAGCGACCGGTCCAAGGACAACATCATAGACTTTAAAGGACGACCTCCGTCTGCTGATCAGAAGTAAGCTGTAACTCACAGTAAAAGTCCGGTTATGATAGAAGCAGACTTGATTACTGCAACAGTGTTTTACTACAACTCATCCAGAACGCTGCCACCAGAGTCCTCATCAAAACCAGAAGAACTGAGCTCATCACCCCAGCTCTCAAAGCTCTGCACTGGCTTCCAATACCACAAAGAACACACTTTAAAATCGTACTTTTAACTCACAAAGCACTCAATGGATTGGGACCAGAATACATGTCTGATATGCTGCTCTGTAACGAGCCACCCAGAGCTCTCAGATCATCGGGGCAGGTTTACTCATCGTCCACAGGGTCAGAACCAAATTCACTGAGGTAGCTTTTAGCTTCTATGCTACGCAGATCTGGTACAACCTTCCTGAGATCTGAGGTTCCCCCCACCCTGAGTTCTTTAAATCGAGTCTAAAATCTTTCTCTTTAGTGCTGCCTATTGTTACAACCCGGCTCCTGGGCTGCAACATAAATCGGGGAGGCGAGACGAGGGGTATGAATAACAAAGATGTTTATTATAAATACACAAAGTTGAAGACGCGGCACCAGCAACAGATCCCCGAGGCTGGCCCGGAGAGAGTGCCCAGAGGAGTGAGAGAGCGACGTAACCGGCTGGACTCCTCTTAAATGCCTCCGGCAGGTGCAGCTCGTCAGGCAGGTGCAGCTCGTCAGGCACCCAGGCACCTGCAATCAAACACACACAACCAGACGGCACCCCACGTGGTGTGGAGGGGTCGTCACACTATCCAGAGATCATCTCACTCTGTTTTATCATTGCCCTTCAACACTTTTAGCTGCATTATGTGTATTTAGGCCACATCAGTATCCTCATCCTCCTAGACATGTCTACAGCCTTTGACCCCATCTCCCATACCATCCTGTTCAACCGCATATCCAACTACCTTGGCCTTACGAGTACAGCTCTATCCTGGTTCCACTCATACCTCTCCAACAGGTAACAGTTTGTCACCATCAGAAACTCCAGCTCCCCTCCAGCCCCAGTCAACCAAGGCATACCGCAATGCTCAGTGCTTGGCCCTCTTCTCTTCACCATCTACATGCTCCCCCTTGGTCAAATCAACCGCCAACACGGTCTCAATTTTCATTCCTACGCCCACGACCCCCAAATCCATATCATCACTGACCCATCCACTCAGCCCCCTCCCCTCTCACAAGTCAATTTCCTCCGCAACATAAAAACTGGATATCTAGTAACCTCCTCAAACTCAACAGCAACAAGACCGAGCTCGTAGTGGTTGTCCCTGAAGAACTACTCTGGAAGCTTGGAGATCTCTTCCTAGTTCTTGATGGCTGCACCATCCACCCTCCCCTGAAGCCCGCAACCTGGGTGTTATTCTGGACTCCACCCTGTCTTTCAACTCCGACATCCGGTCCATTACAAAACCCCCCTTCTTCCACATAAAAAACATATCAACAATATGGCCCTCACCCCCGAACCGGTGGCAGAAACCCTTATTCAAGCATTCATCACCTCCCTGGACTACTGCAATGGAGTCTTCTCTTAAGTCCCACATTCCCTAACCTTAACCTTAGATCAAACTAATGGGTATGAAGTGAAGGCACGCCAATGTCTGCATCTGTTTCTGTTTCAGGGTCCAGCAGCAGAGACCAGACTCTCCCAGCTGTCTGTCCTTCAAGAGCGACTGGTCGATGGACGACTTCATAAACTTTAAAGGAAGACCTCCCTCTGCTGATCAGAAGTAAGCTGTAACTCATAGTAAGAATCCGGTTATGATAGAATAAAACTAGTCGGTATGCCTTCCATCCATCTGTGCACAAAACTTATCTCGTGCCCTCATTGGTCATGTGTGCGTGCGTGTGTGTGAGGTGACGTGACGTGACATGATTCAAGATGGCGCCTGTGTCGGCTCGCCGCTCGCTCAGCTCTCTACCTTTAGCTATCCTGTTTTTGTTTTATGTTTGTCAGAATGTCTCTGCTCTGCTCGTTTATGATCGCCAAGCTCTCCTCCACCTCAGACCCTCACTGGAGTTGATATTGCTGCCCAAACCTATATCTGGCAACCATAAATCGTCCCCCCCCCCTCTACTGTCTTATATCCCCACCCACCTGCGCCGATCGCCCTGCATCCTGCCTCGCCGAAAGCGCTTTCGACGACGGGGAAAGCGTGGTGGTGCACTGGTCCATCTTAAGGCACACCTGACGGCTTCTTCTGTGAATTATCCACGCCTCGGATGTCATGGCCCTCCTGCTGCACGCCATGTGAGGGATCGGTGGATTCGCCCCGTTTTTCCGGAGCTGCGGCCTCTGCTGGGCCCGCTGGCAGCTCCTCCTGCCCGACTGACTGCTCCCGGCCCGCGCGGCGTTCAACACGCACATCTTCGTCAGCTGAGACGCACTACACCTTCGGCAAGCCCGGAGCGAAAACTTTGCATGGCTTTGCTAAATGCTAGGTCGATAGCAAACAAAACGTTCCTGCTAAACGACTTCTTCACCTCTCGTGAACTGGATTTTATGTTCCTGACGGAGACCTGGGTCCACGCTGGCGAGTATACACCGTTCTCTGAACTTCTTCCTCCTGACTGTACATTCTTCAGCTCCCCCTGTGCCACTGGCCATGGTGGGGGCATAGCATCAGTGTTTAGAGCTAGCCTCCAATGCCGATTGCTTCACCCTGTAACTAGCTATGCTAGCTTTGAGTTGCAGCTTTTTGAACTGAACCCGGCCTCGCCTATACTCTGCGCAGTCGTGTATCGTCCGCCAAAGTGTAATAAGGATTTCATAAATGACTTTTCTGACTTTCTGTCCGGGATCATGGTGAAATATGATCGTGTTTTGATCTCCGGAGACTTCAATGTCCATGTGTGTTGCGAGTCCAAACCTCTGGTTAGGGACTTTTTAAATCTCCTTGATTCTTTCGGTCTCGTTCAGTCCGTGGCTGGCCCAACACACAAAAAAGGACACACTTTGGACTTAGTATTATCGTTTGGACTGTCTGTATCTGTGGATGAAATATGTGCAGCAACGCGTATCTCAGACCATTTACCGGTTCTGTTTACAACCTACATCCCTTCCGCAGGAGTCGAATCACGTGCCCCGGCGCGTTGTCTGCGTTCGATTAACCCCTTGACTGCCTCACAGTTCTCTGATGTTTTTAATGCTTCTCCGATCTGTAAATTAGATGTGAACTGTGCTTTTAATGCTGATGAGCTTATCTCCATGTTTGATTCGACATGCACACTAATACTGGATTCTGTTGCTCCTTTTACGCTTAGACGCACCAAAGTTCTCTCAGAGCCGTGGCTCAATGACTGTACTCGTGCTCTCAGACGCGCTTGCAGGCGTGCAGAGAGAAAATGGAAAAAGGATAAACTCCATGTCTCCCTAGAAATCCTTGGTGCTTGCCTTTCTGACTACCAGACGGCAGTCAAAGCAGCCAAAACAGAGCACATTTCTCTGTTAATCTCCAAAAACAGCCATAAACCTCAGGTTCTTTTTAATGTCCTCAACTCGATCATTAATCCCTGTGATGTTGCTTCTATTGTGCCATCGACTACTCTCTGTGATAAGTTTCTTACATTTTTTATTGAAAAGGTATCTGCTCTTAGGCTAGCCCACACTAGTGCTACCCCAGATCCTGCTCCTTTTCTGTGCCCTGCTGTCCTCGACCACTTTGAGCCTGTATCCCTCTCTGCTCTCTCGGATGTGGTCAAGCACCTGCGGCCGACAAACTGCACCTCAGACAGCATTCCCTCTCGCCTTCTCAGAGATGTTTTTGATTCAGTTGGAGCAAGTATTTTATTACTTTTAAACACCTCTCTTACCTCAGGATGTGTCCCAGCTGCCTTCAAACATGCCGTGGTTAAGCCACTCCTTAAAAAGAAAAATCTCGACCCCTCCATTCTCGCAAATTTTAGGCCCATCTCCCAGCTACCTTTTTTATCAAAAGCCCTGGAGCGAGTAGTCTACGCCCAGCTGCAGTCTTTTTTAACCATCCATGGAATCCATGAAAAGTTTCAGTCTGGCTTCAAACCCATGCACAGCACTGAAACAGCCCTTTTAAGAGTTTTTAATGATCTGCTCCTAGCCGCCGACTCAGGTAGCCCAGTTGTCCTGGTGCTGTTAGACCTGACAGCTGCCTTTGACACTGTGGACCATAGCATCCTGCTGTCACGGCTTGAACAGTCCGCTGGCATCACAGGCTCTGCCCTTGCATGGTTCAGGTCCTACCTGACAGACCGTAGCTTCTCAGTGCAGCTAGGTGCCTTCTCCTCTGCCAAAGCCCCTCTTACCTGTGGGGTTCCCCAAGGCTCGATTCTGGGCCCCATCCTTTTTCTACTGTACATACTGCCCCTAGGTTCAATTCTCACAAAACACAATATTCCCTTCCATTGCTACGCCGACGATGTACAGATCTATCTGCCTCTCAAAGCAAATGTCAAACACTCACTACAGCAGCTGATGGACTGCTTAGCAGAGATAAAATCCTGGCTGAGCAAAAACTTTCTCAACCTCAACGAGAGCAAGACTGAGGTCATCTTTTTTGGACCGCAACCTCCAGCCTCTCCGGTTGATATTCTGGGCTCTATCAAAAAAAACATCCTCCCCTCGGTCATGAACCTTGGAGTGACCTTCACTGACACTTTTAAATTCGACAAGCAGGTCAGCACCGTAGTAAAATCCTGCTTTTTTAAAATAAGACTATTGGCCAAAACCAAGTCGTTTTTATCTTTTAAAGACTTAGAAAGGGTTATTAACGCTTTTGTAACCTCGAGACTGGACTATTGTAACGCTCTGTATGTGGGTATGGACCAGGCCTCAATTAAACGCCTACAACTAGTCCAAAACGCTGCTGCACGTTTGCTGACTGGCCACAAAAAGCGTGACCACATCACCCCTATTCTGGCCTCACTACACTGGCTTCCAGTTCGGTTCAGAATTGATTTTAAAATACTTTTATTTGTTTTTAAAGCACTAAATGGGCTGGCTCCGGCCTATATAGCTGAACTGCTCCAGCGCTACACCCCAGCCAGAGCTTTAAGGTCTGCTGACCAGCTGCTGCTGGTAGTGCCCAAGACCAGGCTAAAAACCAGAGGGCACCGAGCCTTCGCAGCAGCTGGCCCTAGGCTCTGGAACACTCTGCCCCTCCATGTGAGGTCGGCCCAGACCCTAGGGGTTTTTTAAATCTAAACTAAAAACACACTTCTTCTCTCTGGCTTTCTAGTTAGAGCGGAGCACAACTCCTGACTTTTGTGTGTTTTATTTTTATTTTGTTTTTAAGATATATCTGTTTTAATTTATTGTCGTTTACTGTGTTTGTAGTAATTGTGTTCTTATTACATGTACAGCACTTTGGCTCGACCAAAAATCGCTTTTAAATGTGCTATATAAATAAAACCTGATTTGATTTGATTTGATGAAGTCTTGTCCAACATATTTTTCAGCAGTTTTTTTCCAGCATGTTTTACGGCCTGATAAATGGGACAAATAATCAGGAGAGTGAGAGCGGTATAATAACCTCCTTTAGCTAAGGGAACACTGGACCTTCCTTAATGAAAGGAAAGGAGAAAATGCAGTCCCACAATACCTTGTGTGGTGCAAATTAACCAAGACAAATTAACAAATAATAATAATAAAATGGTGAGGAAACCTTTCCGTTATACTGAAATGAAGATTCTTGAAATAAGAGTTTATTCTTGCAAGAAGGTAAAACGTTACAGAGTGTCAAGCAGTCTGCAGCGAAGTACAAAAGTCAGGAGATTTGCAAAGGGTCTTATATTCACAAAATCAGACCCAAAAGGAAGAAGGGGAGTGGTCAAGATGTCCAGGAGACATCTGCTTGCTGCATGGAGAGCGATAATGTCTACATTCCTCAGAGGTTAAAGGTCATCAACCTTTCACAATAGATAGAGGTTATCTTAACTGCTGACTTTGAGTCATTTTCTAAGAAATAGCTTATCAAGAAGAACATAATGGTGAACTTTGAATGATCAAATAAAATGTTCCATTACATTCCACCCTTTTGATCATATTTTTTAAAATATTCTTTCAAAAAGTAGCTGGTATATATGAGCAAACTAATCTGAATGAAATAAAACAAAACAAAACAAAAGGTATTTACGCAAATGTTTCATCTGTTTCTGTTTCAGGGTCCAGCAGCAGAGACCAGACTCTCCCAGCTGTCTGTCCCTCAAGAGCGACTCCTCGAAGGGTGACTTCATGAACTTTAAAGGACGAACTCCATCTGCTGATCAGAAGTAAGCTGTAACTCATAGTAAGAGTCCGGTTATGATAGAATAAATCCAGTTTGTATAAAGTCTCGTCAGACCCCTCCTCTTGTCCAAAGTGTTTAGTTGTGAACGTCCACACTGGGAGGGGCAGTGAAACTCCATCTGAAAACTCAGGCTGTTCAGAAGCTGTTCCACCATCTCACAAACACTTCTGATGGAGGATACTGAGCCTTCATCAAAGTCACAACCAGCTCTACTGCCAGGTGAACCCTGACCCCTGCTATGGTGCTGGAGGTGGAGCTGGGGGGGTAACGGGGGCTGGTGTAAGAACTGTCCCTAGGTCTTTCCTTTTCCTGATGAACAGCTGTTAGCCAGCTGCAGAGTCCAGTATCTATCCACACAGCCACGTTTCAGGAAGACCAGAATGAAGGATGGACAGAATCCTCTGGTCTTCAACAGTAGCTGGAAATAAATATTCCTGTAGTGCAAAGTTCCCGCTGACGCACAGGACCACCAGCCTGTTCCCCTGTCCTCCTTCACCCTGAGTGTGTCTCTGTGTGGACAGACATAATGTGAGCTAATGCTTCATGATTCCTCCACAGAGGGGACCAGGAGAGCTCGGAGGTTCCCGGTGGTCAGTCTGCCCAGCAGCATCAGACACAGCTGGACTCCATATTTACGGTGAGTACATGTACTACCGATACTTGACCTCTCTTCTGCTCACAGTCATCTCCATGCTGCACTTTTAGAGAGTCAGTCTGTCCGGATCTGATGTTTGGATCCATGGTTTATAGTTTGTGTCGTTCATGTGATGTTCCAGCTGCTGGAGGACCACATCGTCACTTTTGTGAAGAGCGAGCTGAAGGAGATCCAGAAGGCTCTGAGTTCAGATTACCCAGAATACTTAGAGAGTCAGAGTGAGGATGAGGAGGTGTTGGAGGCTGAGGATGAAGAGCAGAGGAGGAGCAGAGAGGCATTCCTGAACATCACACTGCACTTCCTGAGGAGCATGAAGCAGGAGGAGCTGGCTGACCTTCTGCAGAGCAGTAAGAGGGTTTCTATAAAGATTTAACACTCTGGATAAATGTCTCATCTGCTGATGTCTCAAGGGACCAACATATATCCATATTTTATTCAGAGAACCAGAGTTACAGTGTGACCAGATGATCTTTTGTTGTGTGTTCTTTCAGAAACCTTTGCTGGAGTCTGTCAGCGTAAACTCAAATCCACCCTGAAGGAGAGGTTCCAGTGTGTGTTTGAGGGCATTGCTAAAGCAGGAAACCCAACCCTTCTGAACCAGATCTACACAGAGCTATACATCACAGAGGGGGGGTCTGCAGAGGTCAATGATGAACATGAGGTCAGACAGATTGAAACAGCATCCAGGAAACCAGACAGACCAGAAACAACCATCAGACAAGAAGACCTCTTTAAAGCCTCACCTGGAAGAGATGCACCAATCAGAGCAGTGATGACAAAGGGCGTGGCTGGCATTGGGAAAACAGTCTTAACACAGAAGTTCACTCTGGACTGGGCTGAAGGCAAAGCCAACCAGGACATCCAGTTCATATTTCCATTCACCTTCAGAGAGCTGAATGTGGTGAGAGAGAACAAGTACAGCTTGGTGGAACTTGTTCATCAGTTCTTCTCTGAAACCAGAGACGCAGGAATCTGCAGGTTTGATCAGTTCCCGGTTGCGTTCATCTTTGACGGTCTGGATGAGTGTCGACTTCCTCTGGACTTCCACAACACTGAGATCCTGACTGACGTCACAGAGTCCACCTCAGTGGATGTGCTGCTGACAAACCTCATCAGGGGGAAGCTGCATCCCTCTGCTCGCCTCTGGATAACCACACGACCTGCAGCAGCCAATCAGATCCCTCCTGAGTGTGTGGACATGGTGACAGAGGTCCGAGGGTTCACTGACCCACAGAAGGAGGAGTACTTCAGGAAGAGGTTCAGAGATCAGGAGCAGGCCGGCACCATCATCTCCCACATCAAGACCTCACGAAGCCTCCACATCATGTGCCACATCCCAGTCTTCTGCTGGATCTCTGCTTCAGTTCTGGAGGAGGTGTGGAAAACCAGAGAGGAAGGAGAGCTGCCCAAGACCCTGACTGAGATGTACATCCACTTCCTGGTGGTTCAGTCCAAAGTAAAGATCGTCAAGTATGATGGAGGAGCTGAGACAGATCCACACTGGAGTCCAGAGAGCAGGAAGATGATGGAGTCTCTGGGAAAACTGGCTTTTGAGCAGCTGCAGAAAGGCAACCTGATCTTCTATGAGTCCGACCTGACAGAGTGTGGCATCGATATCAGAGCAGCCTCAGTGTACTCAGGAGTGTTCACACAGGTCTTTAGAGAGGAGAGAGGACTGTACCAGGACAAGGTGTTCTGCTTCGTCCATCTGAGCGTTCAGGAGTTTCTGTCTGCTCTTCATGTCCACCTGACCTTCATCAACTCTGGAGTCAACCTGCTGGCAGAAGAACCAACAACCTCCCAGAAGTCTGAAGTCAAACCTGAACTAACACATCTCTACCAGAGTGCTGTGGACCAGGCCTTACAGAGTCCAAACGGACACCTGGACTTGTTCCTGCGCTTCCTCCTGGGTCTTTCACTGCAGACCAATCAGAAACTCCTACGAGGCCTGCTGACACAGACAGGAAGTGGCTTAGAGATCAATCAGGAAACAGTCCAGTCATGGATCAACTGTAAAATAGTCCAGTACATCAATAAGAAGATGGAAGAGGATCTGTCTGCTGAGAGAAGCATCAACCTGTTCCACTGTCTGAATGAACTGAATGATCGTTATCTAGTGGAGGAGATCCAACAGTACCTGAGTTCAGGAAGTCTCTCCATATATAATCTGTCTCCTGCTCAGTGGTCAGCTCTAGTCTTCATCTTACTCTCATCAGGAAAAGATCTGGACGTGTTTGACCTGAAGAAATACTCTGCTTCAGAGGAGGCTCTTCTGAGGCTGCTGCCAGTGGTCAAAGCCTCCAACAAAGCTCTGTAAGTACAGAGATTATTTGATTTAGTGAATCAGTTATTAACACACTGCTGTCTTCTGAATAACTGTTGTCCTCATCGTCTCCTCAGGCTGAGTGGCTGTAACTTGTCAGAGAGAAGCTGTGAAGCTCTGTCCTCAGTCCTCAGCTCCCAGTCCTCTAGTCTGAGAGAGCTGGACCTGAGTAACAACGACCTGCAGGATTCAGGAGTGAAGCTGCTGTCCGCTGGACTGGAGAGTCCACACTGTGAACTGAAGACTCTTAGGTTGGTGTAAAGCTGTTTAAAAATGTTGACAATCTCAATTATATGTTTCTTCATATACTACTTATTGAATGGACATGTTATTGAATGATTTCAGGCTGAGTGGCTGTAACCTGTCAGAGAGAAGCTGTGAAGCTCTGTCCTCAGTCCTCAGCTCCCAGTCCTCTAGTCTGAGAGATCTGGACCTGACTAACAACGACCTGCAGGATTCAGGAGTGAAGCTGCTGTCTGCTGGACTGGAGAGTCCACACTGTGAACTGAAGACTCTCAGGTTAGAGACCAATGGCGCAGTTCCACTGCAGCGCGGAGCTCGCTTTAAGCGTCCCGTGTCGTGCCGTCCCCTTTTTTGGTTGTGCTTCCACTAGGCCAATTACCGGCGCGGCACGGCGCGGGGCCACTTTTTCACCTCTTTTCTGGCCCTAGAAAATTGTGGTTCTATCGGGGCCAACAAACAGGGCTGAGTCGGGCTGAGTATGCTAAACTAGAGAGAGGAGCGCTGGCAAGAGGGCTAGAACTACAACAAGATGGACATATTTGACCGTGATTTAATTGTAATACACGTTTCAAAATGATGCCGAAGTAACAACATACTGATACCGGTTAGTAAAAACCATGAATTAATGCTTTGTCAAGTCTGCAGACAGACGGCAGGCGAAAAACCTTTTAAAATTCGTGTTTTTCTAGATGGAGATTGGCTAAGCTAACGCAGTATATGCCCCGACCGTCCACACTCACAACAACGGCCTATACAGACATAAATAAAGCAGCGACTGTATTCACCATGACACAGGCAGTCTGTGGTTTGTACTTGTTTAACTTTTGTCGAGTTTCTGAACATATATAAGGAGCTGTGAGCTCTGAGTGCTAACAGCTAACGGCTGTGTTGTTTTTCTGGATTTCTCATTGAAGATGACGTCACGGCTCCACCTACACTGCGTTACTATAGTAACTACCCCAGTTCCTAAACTGTAATGGAAGCGCAGCATGAAGTGAGTCGGCCCTGTTAAGGCCCAACGAGGCCAAGCCGTACCGAGCCGTACCGAGTGTGGCCGAGGCCGACCGTGTAGTGGAAATGCGCCACAATACAGTTTGACTTAGCCAACAATCAGCCCTGCTGTGTGGTGTGGGAATACCATCATCAAAAACATAATTGAAGTGAAACGAGACACAATATATTTGTCACAATTCACAAAATGTTAATTAGCACACACTTCTATAAAGCTCTATAAAGAGCTTCATTTTTATTGATTTGGCAGAAGCGTTTGACCTCCAGCTCTCATTTGGGTAGTCATTTGGTGCTAAGGCTCTCTGCCTGGAAACGATGGATTGACTGAGTTTTTGCTATCTGCTAACTATCTCAGGGTCTCGTTAACGAGTGAGGGTCAAATGAGGCGTTAGATGGACAGCCAGTTTGTTGCAGAGTCAGTAGTGATGCAGGCGTTGTACAGGACCGTTAGAGAGAGGAAGCTGAGCTGGAGGCAAAGCTCTCTATTTACCAGTCCGTCTGTGATCAACCCTTACTCACCATCATCAGCTTTAGGTAGACACTGAAAGGATGACATCACAGATACAAGCAGTTTAAATGAGCGTCAGATTAAAGGTTCTTCTGTAGGCTGACTGGACCCTCAGATGATCTGACGGCTTGTTTGTGTGTCTGCAGGCTGTCAGGCTGTCTGATCACAGAGGAAGGCTGTGATGCTCTGGCCTCAGCTTTAAACCCCTCCCACCTGAGAGAGCTGGACCTGAGCTACAATCATCCAGGAGACTCAGGGGGGAGGCTGCTGTCTGCTGGACTGGACACACTCAGGTATGGAGAGGCACTCAGTCTGATAGAGGAGGTAGAAACTGGCTCCTATGACCTGAAGCAACCAGAGCTGATAGACCCTGACTCTTCACACTGTCTGCCATCAGCTGTAAGCATCAAACACAACTGAGAGGAAACCCCCCCTCAGTGGGTCAATGTTCATCGTGGAACGACCAACAGAAACAGAGTGGGGGGGTTTTAATGTTCACCCAGATTTAGCACAGGAAGTGACATCATGAATAAATAAACTGATTCATTTCCAGATGTTTTTAATTTGAGTCCTAGCAAACAGCCAATGTTCAACGAACCTTCTCTTGAATAAAAATAAGGATTTATAAGTTTCACTGTTGGGAGTAACGAGGGGACCGTGCGGCAGAGTTTCAGTTTCAGTTTCTTTCGCCGGTCAAGATGTCCGTTAAAGTTTAAATCTTCCGGAAAAATTAGAAAAGTGCCGGTCAAAGGTCTTCTTTGTTATTTATTGAGCTTTAAAACAAATGAATAACGACTCTATATAATAAAACACGGAGGACGGAGATCTCTTTTTCTCCCCCTCTTCTGACAGCCCAGCAGCTGATCAGAGCACGGCTCCCCTCTCCTGCAGGGGGGCGTGGTCAGCAGAATCAGACCCGTCGACAGCAAACAGCACATAGAGCGAAATGAGGCATGGCTAAAATGCATGATCTGTTTGGTATTTTGAAAACAGAAACGTATAAATATACCTTATATAGGTATGGCTCTACAATATATCATTTAAATATAGCATGATAGGTCCACTTTAAAGACTAACTGACCCCCCCCCCTCTGCTTTCAGCCTGGAGCCTGCTGCAGTCCGGTTCTTGAGGCCAGGTCTCAGGAAGTGTAAGTGTGTTTTTAATCATGAACATCTTCACACTGGGACATCACAGGTACTTTAGTAACCTTTAATACCTGCTGTGTCTCTCATCAGATTCCTGTGGACTCACACTGGACTCAAACACAGCACACAGAGGACTCAAACTGTCTGACAACAACAGGAAGGTGAGACGTGTGAGAGAGGAGCAGAAATATCCTGATCATCCAGAGAGGTTTGACTACTATCCTCAGCTGATGTGCAGAGAAGCTCTGACTGGTCGCTGTTACTGGGAGGTCAAGTGGAGAGGATGGGCTTCTATAGCAGTGACTTACAGAGGAATCAGCAGGAAAGGAGGCAGTGAGAACGGTTGGTTTGGAGGGAATGATCAGTCCTGGAGTCTGATGTGCGCTGATGGAGGTTACACTGTCTTTCACAATAACAGAGACATCTCCATCTTCATCTCCTCCTCCTCTTCCTCTGGTAGAGTAGCAGTGTATCTGGATCATCCTGCTGGCTCTCTCTCCTTCTACAGAGTCTCCTCTGACACACTGATCCACATCCACACCTTCAGAGCCACATTCACTGAACCTCTCTATGCTGGGTTTGGGTTTGGGTTAGGGTTATTGTTACCTGGTGCCTCAGTGTCTCTGTGTGATACATCCCCCCCCCCCCTCCCAAAAAAAGAGAGGGGCTGATCATAAAAGTGTAAAACTAAGATTTCTGAGATTATCTGAAAAAAATGTCTGTCTGTTAATTTCCTTTTTAAATAAATCTAAATGTTGATATTTCAGAAAATAAAGGGTTTTCAGAAAGAAGTCAGAATTTTAAGATTTTAATAAAAAACTCAAAATAAAAGTCAGTCTTTGCAAAGATGAAACTCAGAAAGAGGTTGAATAACAACAGGAAGTCCATTCTGATTTATTTCCACACGGAGGCTTTTATTCTGAAACTGCAGGAAAATGTACATTTATCCCAAAGTCTTCCCACCATCTGTAGTTTGTGAACACGTGACATCACTTCAGTTTGAATGGCAGCAGTAAAGGGTTACTGAGGCTCGTTAAGAACAGGTCATAGTGACGAGTTCAATCACTTCTGCAGAATATAATATATGATGTCTACAAACTAACATATAATAACGTCTGAAGTGCAAACGTGAACATAAAGTGCAAACCACAGCGTGCATGCATTTGAGCTCAATGACCGGCTTCCCTGTGAATATTTAAAATATAACGTGGCCCTACACAGCAGAGTCTGAGCGGCACAGTGTGCAGCTTTTATTTTAATGCTGGCTTTTTACTCTCATGCAAACATGGTCATTACTTTTTAAGAAGGGTCAGATTCGATGAGCCTTATTTGCATTTAGGAAACTAATCTTCCCTAAACAGCACGATGATGTTTGAATGAACACGGCTGCTTCTGGGGTGAATGTAAACCTCTGATCTGGGTTAGATGGGTTTATTAACAGACCAATCACATGATGATTGTCTCATCATTAACACTCATGTACTTTCAATGTAAGCAGCTGATCTAATTAATAAAGTCTGTGTTTTGAGTCGGACTCGTGGCCTGTCTTTGTCTCAGTTTGATGGTTTATTTATATATACTTTTAATTTCTATGTTCAATACCTTGTCTTTTTATGCTGCTGCAACGCAAACATTTCCCAAATTGGGATCAATAAAGTATTTTTTATCTTATCTTATGTTAACGCGAGGGGAGAATCCTCTTGTTTGGTCTGAAGGTGAGTCTAATCAGACGCCGCTGCCCCCACCCCGGCCGTACAGCAGGAACCCCCCCGCGGTGCGAAGCTCCTCCAGATCCAGGTTGGACAGGAAGCTCCTCTGAAGCTCCGCCTCCACCGTGCACCCTCCCGGGCCGCTGCACCCCCCCAGCAGCACCACGGCCGACTGACACAGCAGCCAATCAGAGAGCTTCCTCAGGTCGGATAGAGCCCGCCCCCCCCACAGGCTCAGGTGAAGCATGTTAGCGGCGACACGAGCGCTGGGCCGCTGCAGAAGAGAGTAAAAAAACAGGTGGTTAATGAACAACCTGTTTTAATATCTGTTGGGAAAACACTGAATGTCCTCTTCCAACATGAGAACAACATGATAACAAAGGTATCCCAACTGTAGCTGTGTTCATGACAGGATGTATGATTACCTAGAAGAGCATCAGGACTGTTTGAGGCATATGATAGCTATGTGATTAACATGATGATTCAGCCTCTATGGAGATAGACATATGACAAGCATCATCATTTCTGATGTGGAGCTAATCTGAAGTAAACATTGAATACTGCTTTATATTCCTCCATCTTGTGACTGTGTAACTCCCTCTCTTGGATATCAGCATGTGAAGGACACTGTTCAGGAACTAGTTGATGCTCTGTATGTGATGACTACTTCCATTCTGGAGAGGATCACAAATACATGGATCCTGAGGTTGAAGCTCAAGCCGGGGACCAGTGATTATTAACATTTTGAAGTATTCGGAAAAGTCAGAATTTTGAGATTTTGAGAGAAAGTCCGAATTTTTTGATTTTTTGAAAGACACAAACATTTTGAGAAAAAGTCAGAATTTTGTGAAAAAGTCAGAATGTTTTGAAAAAGTCAGAATTTTGTGAAAAAGTCAGAATTT